TGAGAAAAGGTATTTAGAAGTTTACATTTACTAAACTAATTTCATTTCCATGTTGTGTGTACTGTGGGAGGCCAGATATAGTGAATGCAGGGTTCTGGGTTTAGTAAACACTTTAAGCCTAGTACACACAATCAGAAAATAGTATGAAATATACAATTTTCATACAATAATCTAATCGATAGTACACAGCTTTAATGCAAAACTATTTGAAGGGGCAAGTACGAGAATTTTTCTCGTATGATACCAGATTGTACGATTTTTGTTTAATCAGTACATTTTTCAACCAAAAATACAATACAAATACATTACATCACTTACAAATTTTTATTCTGTCGTACAAGAATTTTTGTAACTTGAGTAACCTCTGCATTTTTGAAAAGAGACTAACATGCAAAAATAAACTCTCATTGTGTGTTCAGGGCTTCAGTTATTACCAGAAGCCATTTATTCACTTTTTAAATCTAATATTGCTAGTACGGAAGCGCATAATAATGTGTACAGAAGTTGAAATTACAAAAATACAAAAAATTAAGGGAACTGCATATAGAAATGCAGCTATTTGGCATGAAATAAAAAGGGAGAAAATACAATTTATTGGGTTTATGGTTTATCGTGTCATTGGAAGCACACTGAAAGTTCTGTAACCGCCACATTCTGAACACATTTCCATATAAATTACATGTACATTTTTCCTGGTGCTCAATATGTTGAGGAATAGATGTGGGCTGGATTCTAACCCTGCTAAGTGGAAAGCTTTTGCCAAAATGGCAAAACGTTACATAGACCAGCTGGTTCTGATGGCTGGGTCAGGATAAGATTTCCAATATCAGTGCCTCAGTCCACTCAACTAGTGTCCACGAGTCCACTCACCAAGGCGGCCCAATTTAAAGTGATTTAAAGGCTTATTTAAAAAACAAAAAATATGTCTATACTTACCTGCTGTGTGCAGTGGTTTTGCACAGAGCAGCCCGGATCTTGGGTTACACGCTCCTGGGCCCCTCCCTCCTGTTGGGTACCCCCACAGCAAGCAGCTTGCTATAGGGACACCCGCTGCTCCATCTTTCCGTTCACACATGGAGCTGCAGCTCAGCCCTGCCCCCTCTCTCTACTCATTGGCTCACTGGCTGTGATTGGCAGTTGTGGCAGCCAATGGCTCCTGCTTCTGTTTCAGCCAATGAGGAGAGGAAGTCCCAGGATAGCTGAGCCTCCAATGCACATCATAGGATTGAGAGGGGGTTTAGGTGAGTATTAGGAGGGGCTGGATGGGGATGCTGCACTCAGAAGGTTTTTTACCTTCATACATAGAATGTATGACGGTAAAAAACATTGAGCCTTTAGAAACACTTTAATCATTTTGCAGGTTCCTAGCTGATTCTGTACAACCAGGACATACAATTTTATATGTGCCCACAGCTTAAAATGTACACTACCAGAAGAAACTAGTTCCATCCCCCTGCAACTAATATTTTGGATTTTATTAAAGATGAAACTTAATCCTTCTGATCTAAGAAAGTATAGACATTTTTTAGACAGTGTGAAGCCTTCCACATGAGACTACCTTGACCCCTTACTAATCCTGCAGCCAACAAGTCTAAAGCAGTCCTCCTTGTCTGCACAGTAACCTGTTGGCAGCTAATTAGCTAATTTAAGTATGAAGGCCTGAGCCAACTTTTCAAATTGGTGAACATTTGTCTATTAATTGATGCATTCAAAAAGACATCTGTTTAATACTAACCACTGAAATTAAAAGCCTATCTCTGATACCACATCACTTCTATATTTTAATATTTTAAAGGAGAAGTACAGCCAAAGCTCTTTTATTCCTACTCCTGTAGGTCACAGGAGAGCACTTTGTTCTGCCCTCCTGTGGCCTGTTTTCAGACGATAGGGGGCTAAATTCCACAATTGGCTGACATCACAGAGCTGGTCCAGACTCTGGAGAGATCCCAAATTTAAAGTCGGGTGTGACTGACTGCATGGCTCCCCGTCTGGGTGCATCCATCAAAGAACTGCTTCCTCACAGCTGGGATACAGGAGAAAGGTATTATATGGCAGCACAGTGGCTAAATGGTTAGCACTTCCACCTGGCAGTACTAGGATCGTTGGTTCAATTCCCAGCCACGGCACCACCTGCTTGGAGTTTGTATGTTCTCCCTGTGCCTGCGTGGGTTTCCCCCCACACTCCATGCTGGTAGGTTAATTGGATCCTGTCTAAATTGGCCCTAGTATATGTAAGTTAGGAACCTTAGATTGTACGCCTCTTGAGGGTTAGGGACTGATGTGAATGTACAATATATATGTAAAGTGACGGTGCTATATAAGTACCTAAAATAAATAAATAGCTGAGCACAACACCCAAGGACTAGATGACACTAGCTTAGGTGCAAACTATAACTTTGTCTTTATTAAAAATTCACACAGAATTTATACCACACAAAATCAGATTAAAGCCTAATCACATGATTCTAAATAATGCAAACATTAAACAGTAATATATTCAGTACATCTAATGAACAGCCAACAGTTAACAGTGATCTAATCAAACAGTAAGCTAATGAACAGCCAGGCACCCAGGTCAACCAGGAGCCCACCCCAGACACCTCCAGAATACACAAAGTATATTACACATGTTGTCTTTCAGGTGTCTGGCCCCCACCTGTGCAATCTGTCCATCATGAGACAAAACTCATGCAATATTCCAACCAGGGGCGGACTGACCATTCGGGTACTCGGGCACTGCCCAAGGGCCCAGGGTCAGTAGGGGGCCCCATGAGATGTCCCAGGTACCTTTCATAGGCTTTTTTGGGTGTGGTTTGAGTGTGGGTGAGGACACAGGGGCCCCATGATCCCCTATTGCCCAGGGGCCCCATAACTTGTCAGTCCGCCCCTAATTCCAACAGTCTGAAAAAATTGGATGATTTTTTTCTACAAACTTACCTGTAAAATCCATTTCTTGGAGTACATCACGGGACACAGAGCAGGGTATTCATAACTATGTGGGTTATAGGACACCTATAGGTGAATGGACACTGGCCGACCATTCAGAGAGGAGGTCCTCCCATATATAACCCCTCCTATACAAGAAGTACTTCAGTTTTTGTAGCAAGCGATGAAAATTCCAGAAAGGGGGTGAGACCTCTGTGTCCCATGATGTACTCCAAGAAATGGATTTTACAGGTAGGTATGTAGAAAAAATCCAATGTTCCAGGATCTGCATCGTAAGGACCACATCCTGCTTCAGATCTGGCACCAACCGATTTCTGAGCAAGAGATCATCTAGATAATCTGTGACCGATACTCTCTGAGTTCTGTTTTGTGAAAACTCTGGAAGCTGTGGCCAGCCAAATGCTATGAACTGGAAATGCTGAGTCCCTTCTGCAAACTGCCGAAATCTTTGGTGAGGATCGCATATCGGTACATGCAGGTATGCATCCTTGATGTCTATGGATGCTAAAAAAATCTCCCTCCTGTAGGGAGGCCACTACTGACCGAACCGATTCCATACGAAAGGATTGGAGATTTAGGAACTGACTTAGCCCCTAGAGGTCCAAAATGGGTCTTACATCCCCATTTGGTTTGAGACTGTAAACAGGTTTACACCTTGATCCAATAGGCAATCGAGTGCCTGAAATAAAGCTCTTCTTTTCTTTAGATTCGATGGTACATTTGATCATAGAAAACAGAGAGATAGAAATATCCGAAATTCTGGTCTGTACCCCAGAGAAATCATGGAAAATGACCTATTTGTCTTGGATTAGAGCCCTCTATGTGGCCACAAAATTCAAAAGCCTTCCCCCCACCCGAACAAGTGGGATCTGTCTTAAACGACTTTTGCACCTAGGGCCTCCTTGGGTTTTGATTCTGAGATCTACCCCTGGAGGCTGGGACCTGTGTGTGGCAAAACAACTGCCTGGTAGATGAGGGCCCAGCAACCCGAAGACCCTGACACCTTAGGGCATTTCGATTTCTTCTTAGAGGGTAGAAGAGTACTTTTACCCCCCGGAAATCTTTTGGATATATTTTTCCAAATCTTCCCCAAACAGCTGTTCCCCATGAATGGAAAACCTGCCAACAATTTTTTTCATGGCATTTTTGCTGACCAACTCTACAGCTACAAAACCCTGCGTGTGTGTACTGATAAGAGGGCCAAGCGAGAAATTTGATGAATTAAATCCTTAAGAGCATTAACCGCGAAACACAAAACACGAGGAGCATCTTCCAAATCCTCGGACAAGCATTCCCCCTGCACTGATGGTATTTCAATCCGCTGCTTGACACATACTCTGACAAATGCCAATAGCTGCCACAGCTGGCTATGCAGCAGAACCTGCCAGGGAGAAGAAGGCCTTAAGGAGAGACTCCAGCTTCTTATCCACAGGGTCCTTGAAAAGCTGTACATTATCCACCGGACATGTTAAAGATTTATTCAGGAATAAAACAGCTGCATCCACTACAGGCAACCCCCATTTCTTAAACTTTTGTTCCATGGGGTACAAAACAGAAAACCTCTTTGGTGGAACAGAAACCCTGTCTGGGTGATCCCAGTCAGCATACATAATTTGCTCCAGAAGAGTATGCACCAGAAAGGCCTGAGTACTCTATGAAGGCTTCAAAGAGCCCAGGGAAGAATAAGTAACCTCAGAGGTTTCTATTGGAGGTAGCCTGAATCCAGACTGTACCATATCAGTGAAGTCCTGGACTACAAATGTCTGAGACTGAGAGGCAGAGACCTCCTGCTTTTCCTCAGGCTGTGACTCATCAAACAGAAAATCTACTGCCTAACCTTCCTCTAGCTTTTCCTCATCCACGGGCTCCACCTATTCCTGCTCCAGGATTGGTGGTTCTAGTGACTGTCAGGAATGGACTGGCCAGCAATGGTGGGACTCACCTGCCTTTTGATCTGCAGTACCAGGGCTGGCCAGCGGGTGCTCCCAGCAATCAGAGACTCAACCTTTCAGCCAGCTAACACCTGGAACTGATGATGCTGGGGTATTTAAGGGATGGCCAGACCCACAGACTCTGCCTTGGTGTTGTGTTTGTCCTGGGCCCTGTATCTGTCCTGCATCCTGTTTCTGTCCCTCTGCCTGACCCTCTGTACTACGCTGCTTGTTACCTGTTTTGATCCCTGGCTTGTGACCCTGACCATCCCTCTGCCTGACCCTCTGTACTACGCTGCTTGCTACCTGCTGAACCTGGCCTGTGACCCCGACCATTCTCTGCTTGCTCCCCCTGTACCTACCTGCCCAATTGATATTGACCCGGCCTGCCTGACGACGCTTGCTTGTATGTACTGTTATCTGTGGGTGATTGGTTGGGTTTGTTTGCACTGTATTATGTTTAGTATTGCACTGCGTTTATGTTTGTATGGTTAGTGTTAATAAATTGTATTGTTTATCACATATCTGAAGTCTGCGTTTCCCTGCATCAGTCACACACCTCTGGTCATACCTGGGAGCCCTGACAGTGACAAGGATCTATCCCGCTTCTTAGTCCCCTGAGAAACTGATGCAATCATCCCAGCGATCTTATCTTATAAACCCGCTAAGGCTGAAGCAAGATCATCCTTAGTAACATATGCTGGGGCAGAAGCCCCAGTAGTAGCCACAATGCCAGATAGATGCAGTGGCTCAGACTGCCCAGTCGCTCCTGGCCTGTCAGGAGAGGATATTACAGCAGACCTTCAGCTAGGTTCCTCAGGACCGGGTGGATTTTCTGCAGTGCCCGGGTAGAGTTTCTGTTAGTGCCCTTTCACGCTGCACCTCCCTCACTCCGCTTTCTGGAAGACATTACTTTAGATAGTGCAAACCTGTGCACCTCCAGTAGTAACACAGATCACAATGATACAGCTACGCAATTAGTGTGCTTTAAAAAACACTCAATGCAAATGCTGCCTTATGAGCCACCAAAGGCGGCTTCTGACTGATTGGTCCATGCTTCTCCCTCAGGGGAGTACTCACTTACCCCTACTGAATAGCCCACTCTGTGTCCCAGCCACAGGAGATTCCTCAGCAGCAGCAGTAGCCCATGTCTGTCCTGGCCTCCAGAAAAAACAAATATGGCCAACTTCGGTTTCCGGCCGCACTCCCTCTAGTGGCCGAAAACAAAAACAGTGAGCATATCTCGGGATCAACTGTGAGCATTCCACCTGGTGGAAACTCACAGTCACAACACCTCTCCTTTTCCCTCCAAATTAGAGCTTTTGTTTGTTTCTCCTTACAGAGAGAAAAAAGCAGGTATCTTACCAGTCCCGCCGCAGGTCCCTGACTTCCTTCAGGCAACAACCTTCACCCATCATGGAGGACATTGTCATACAGACCTTCAAGGACTCAGTTCCCATGCTTAAGGGCTACTGCCTTGAACCCTATAGCACCCTGCTGGTAGCGCCTTGGTCAGATTTACAATTGCACAGGGTTCCATGTGTGCAGCACCATAAGGCTGCATTGCAGGCAAAATCTTGATGCTTCTTCTCCTTATCTAGTGAGGCTCGGGTACCACCCATTTTAGCTCATAGCCTTCCGAATGGTCCCTGATTCTCTAATGGAACCGTTCTGGACTTTCAGGTATGCTCCAAGAGCACAGCAACACTTTCAGTGACCATCCACCTTACAGACACTGGCAAAAAAACTGAAATACTTCCTGTGTATGAGGGGTTATATAAGGGAGGACCTCCTTTCTGATTGGTTGGCCAGTGCCCATTCACCTATAGGTGGCCTATAACCCACGTGGTCATGAATAGCCTGCACTGTGTCCCATGACGTACGATAAAGAAAGTGGAATTAATTTATTTTCATAGATTTCTTGGGGGATATTTTTGATAATTATTTCTGTCCCAAGTGGAGGAGCTTTTTCAACCCAGTCCGCAGGAGGGCCACCATATTTCCTCTGTTTCCTCTGACCATTAACCAGTACAAGAATAATATTACACCTTTCCATCCACTTCAGAGGGAAGCTTTATTGTCTTTATGCAGAGAATTAATCCAAGCCTCACTCTCAGTGTTCATCACTTTATTGTCCATCTTTAGAGAATGATCTGCACCCTATGACCATGGGATGAACTGAGCTCTTCCATGCTCTGACCGGGAGATGTAGGCAAAATCCCCTCCATTGGCCATAATCATTGGGTAGAAGGCTAGTGCTAGTCCCCTCCAAAAGCCCCTGTCCCGGTTGGGTCTGCCACATTGGGATACTCCCAGATGAGTGACCGGCAGCTGGCTCAGCCTCTTAGTGAGTCACTGAGAGCTGGAGCCAGCTGCTCCCACCCTCTCTACAGCTTGGCGCTCCAGTGAGCACTGGAAGGGCAGAGCAGAGAAGGGAGAGGGAAACAGGCTTAAAGCTCAACCCCTGAAAAGTATCGTTCTTCTGGCAAGCGCCAAACCCAGACACGTCCCTCGGATTGCCAGAAGCATGATTCGTCACTCCAGAGAACACGTCTCTACTGCTCTAGAGTCCAGTGGCGGCTTTACACCACTGCATCTGATGCTTTGCATTGCACCTGGTGATGTAAGGCTTGGATGCAGCTGCTTGGCCATGGAAACCCATTCCATGAAGCTCTCCAGGCACTGTGGTTGTGCTAATCTGAAGGCCACATGAAGTTTGAAGGTCTTTAGCTATTGACTCTTCAGCATGTGCTGGAACTGCTCTGTCATTTTTCGTGGTTGAGTTGTTGTTGTTCCCAGTTGCTTCCACTTTGTTATAGTACCACTAACAGTTGACCATGGAATTTTTAGTAGCAAGGAGAATGCACAGGTGGCAACCTATAATGGTACCACACTTGAACTCACTGAGCTCCTGAGAGCGACCCATTCTTTCATAAATGTATACTGTATATGTAATACACTGTGTAAATTGCTGGTGCTGTATCAGTACCTGTAATAAATAAATAAAATATATAGTGAGGCACAGACTGGAAGTCTACATGCCTAGATGCTTGATTTTTACACCTGTGATCATGGAGGTGATTGGAACACCTGAATCCAATGATTTAAAGGGGTGTCCCAATACTTTTGGCAATATAGTGTGTGTGTGTGTATATATATATATATATATATATGGCCACCCCTCCAAATCATTGGATTCAGCTGTTCCAATCACCTCCATGGCCATAGGTGTAAAAATCAAGCACCTAGGCATGCATACTGCTTCTACAAACATCTGTGAAAAAATGGGTCACTTCCAGGAGCTCAGTCCACGAATTGTTAGGTCACTTAAAATGACAGAGCGGAGTCAGCGCATACTGAAACGCATAGTGTGCAGAAGTCGCCAACTGTCTGCAGAGCCAATAGCTAAAGCCCTGCAAACTTTGTATGGCCTTTAGATTAGCACAACAACAGTGCATAGAGTGCTTCATGGAATGGGTTTCCATGGCTGAGCTGCTGCATCCAAGCCTTACATCACCAAGTGCAATGCAAAGCGTCGGATGCAGTGGTGTAAAGCACGCTGCCACTGGACTCTAGAGCAGTGGAGATGTGTAGAACCTGATAAAACACATTTGGGATTAATTAGAGCAGAGACTGCGAGCCAGGCCTTCTCTTTCGGCATCAGTATCTGACCTCACAAATGCGCTTCTGTAAAAATGGTCAAACATTCCCATAGACACCCTCCTAAACCTTGTGGACAGCCTTCCCAGAAGAGTTGAAGCTGTTATAGCTGCAAAGGGTGGGCCAACTCAATATTGAACCCTACGGACCAAGGCTGGCAATACACTATACAATTTTCTGTCCAATTTCCTTTAGATTTACCTTCAACTATGTAGTCCAAGAGCCTACCTAATTGATACAATTGAAAGTGTTGCTAGGTTTGACCTCATATTAAATGGTTTTTGGTAAATCTAAACCAAAAATCTCAAGAGAATTGGATAATCTATGGTCAGCCTAAGACTGGGATGCCATTAAAGTTCATGTGTGTGTAAAAAAGGCAGGCGACCTGATACTTTTGGCAATATAATGTATATACAGTATATATAGTTTGTTTGTTAGACAAGCCACTGCATGGGGAAAATAGGCAGAAAAAGTACTATCTTCTGCATCATAGGGCACGCAAAATGCTACACACCAGGAACACCATGAAGCATGGCAGACACAAGCTATTGAAAATGGAAAGTTCCTTTGAAGGAACAAATATTCTTATTGTCAGTATATGGACCAAAGATCTTTTATAATGATTGTTGCTTTGAAGAGATATTAATGTCACACACTGAAAGAGTCAGACAAAGTAGCCATGCACCATGTGCTACCATACTAAAAATACACATTATTTCCAATCAAATTTATTTTAGATTGCTGATTTAGTTAGCATCATATAATAGCCCTTTCCATACATCAGCCATTTGAAAACCAAAGATCATTATTTGACCAGAAGCTCCCACAGCTGCTCCTCAATTATGGCTTCCCCTCTGCTGTGACAGACTACAAGATAATGCTGAAAGAGACAGCAATTACAATGGAAGGAGCTGCATGCCGGTCAATATTTGCCTTTTAACTTCAGTAGTCTATCTCTCACTAAGTGTAGGTGATAAATGTGGCTGCTTTTCATTTACTGATCAAAATAAAAGTAAAATGTCTGAACACTGGTGCATTAAGGTACAACTATAGATTTGGCTTAAAAAAAACAAAACAAAATAAGATATCATATTTACCTGCTCTGTACAATGGTTTTGCACAGAGCAGCCCCGATTTTCTTCTTCTCGGGTCTCCCCCCAATGCTCCTCCCCCTTAACCAGTGCCCCCATTAGTAAGCCGCTCCCAAGCCCGCCTCTATGCGTCCATGAGACACAGAGAGCAGCAGCTCTCTCCTTATTGGCTCACTGGATATGATTGACATCAGTGAGAGCCAATGGCTCCTGCTGCTGCCTCAGCCAATGAGGAGCAAGAGACCCGGGACAGCCAAGGCTCTAGTGCATGTCGCAGGATTGAAAGGGGGCTCAGGTGAGTATTAGGGGTGCTGTGGGGAGAGCAGCTCACGGAAGGTTTTTTTTTACCTTCATGCTTAAAATGCATAAAGGTAAAATAAATTTCAGCCTTTACAACCTTTATAAAACAGAGAAAGACTGAGTGAGAAAACGTAAGGGAGAGGCGGTATCATATAATAAAAACTTGTCCTATAAAGCCGAACTCCAGAAATATTTATTGCATACTTATGCTGGTCCAGCTTGGCTACATGTACAGTAAGTTAAGTATGCATATCTGATATCTATAAGAACGCTGTAAATCAATGTAATAATCCACGTTACATACAGAGAGA